TGAGAATATTGAGGATGACCATGAAGATATTGGTCACAATGATGCAATCATCTATTCTGCTATTATGGATGACATTTTGTCACCACAGTGGTTCTGTCAAAATCAGTTTTATAATTTTCAGCCAAAATCAATACGTTGGTCAAGTCTGGTTTCATTCAGGAAGCAAAAAATCCTGCGTGGATTGGAAACATCGTATCATTAAGAAAAAAGGATGAAAATATGAAAATTTGCATCATTTTTCAAAACTTGGATCAGATATGTTCGAGGAATGTTTATTCCTTACCAATCAATAAATTCAAGATTGAGGAAGAAGTTGTCTCTGTGAACTATGTGACTATTGATAAAATTTCAGAACTAGAAGGCTTAACTTCTGACGAAGAGCCTGAACCAGCACCATCGACTTTTGAAGAAGGAGGGCAAACCACTGTTGATGATCTAAAGCAATTGAATCTAGGAATGGAAAATGATCTAAAACTAATATTCATTAGTGTTCTTCTAAAACCTCAAGAGGAAGGTGAGTACTTTAAACTATTACAGGAGTATAAAGATGTTTTTACATGGTCATCATCTTGCTGTTAAACATGAAGTTCGACCCATTAAGCAACCACAACGAAGATTTCGTCTAGAACTAGTCCCGCAGATCGAAGTTGAAGTCAACAAGTTGATAGATGCTAGATTCATTCGAGAATTCAAATATCTAACATAGATTGCTAATATTGTACCTGTTAGAAAGAAAAATGGACAAATTCGAGTTTGTGTTGATTTCAGAGATTTAAATCAAGCATGTCTGAAAGATGACTTTCCATTACGGATTACAGAACTCATGGTTGATGCGACTGTGGGACATAAGGTCTTATCTTTCATGGATGGTTCCTCTGAATACAATCAAATTCGAATGGACCCTAAGGACAAAGAATTCACTGCATTTTGAACCCCTAAGGGAGTTTACTGCTACAGAGTGATGCCTTTCGAACGCAAGAATGTTGGTGCCACATATCAACGTGCTATGCAAAAGATTTTTGATGATGTACTACACAAAAAGGTTTAATGTTATGTTGATGACCAAGTCGTAAAGACAAAAAGACGTGAAGATAGTCTTGATGATTTGCGCAGCATTTTTGAACGACTTTGGAGATATCAACTAAAAATGAATTCCTTAAAATGTGCCTTTGGGATTACCTCTAGCAAATTCTTTGGATTTATTGTCAGGCATTGAGATTGATCAATCAAAAATAGAGGCTATCCTAAAGATGTCAGAGCCTCGCAATCTACATGACCTGAAAAGTCTTCAAGGAAGACTTGCCTATATACAAAGATTTATCTCGAACCTTGCCGGACGTTGTCATCCATTCAATAAACTAATGAAGAAGGGTGTTCCTTTTGAATGGGATGATGCATGTCAGAATGTTTTTGAAAATATAAAACAATATCTCATTTATCCCCCGGTCCTCGCAGCACCAATTCAAGGAGAACCATTGATCCTTTATATTACTGCCTAAGAATAGTCATTAGGAGCACTCTTGGCCCAAGTTAATGACAAGGAAAATGAAAACGCATTATACTATCTGAGTCGGACATTAGTAGGTGCAGAACTAAACTACTCACCTATTGAAAATATGTGTCTTGCATTAGTCTTCGCTACAAAGAAGTTGAGACATTATATGCTGGCTCATGTTGTTCATCTCATTTCAAAATCTGATCCTATCAAGTACATTAAGTCAAGACTAGTTCTCTCGGGAAGGTTGGCAAAGTGGGCACTTCTATTGTCTAAATATGACATAGTTTATGTTCCACAAAGAGCAGTCAAAGGACAAGCATTAGTTGATTTTCTTGCAAATCACTCGATCCCTGTAGACTGGGAGCTACCAGAAGAATTGTCAGATGAAGAAGTTTTCTTCACTGACTTCATACCGTCTTGGAAGTTATACTTTGATGGTGCTGCTCGAAGGTATAGAACTGGTGCAAGTGTGGTCTTCATTACCCCTAAAGATGAAGTATTGTCTTACGCAATTACCTTGACAGAGTCTTGCTCTAATAACATGGCGAAGTACCAAGCTTTGATCATTGGCTTAGAAATGACACTTGATATGCAACTCTCTAAGTTGAAAATTTATGGAGACTCGCAGCTGATGGTTCATCAGGTTTTGGAGTTGTATGATGTTTGCAAACCAGATTTGATTCCATACTGTTTCTAAGCAACTCAACTTATGAGTCAGTTTGATCGAGTCACCATTGAAAACGTACCACGCGGTGAAAATATATATGCTGATGCTCTTGTCAATCTTGTCTTCATGCTTACGAAATCCTATTACCAAATAATTTCAGTTCCAATTTGTCAAAGATGGGTAATACCTCCATTACTCCATGAAATGGAGGAAGTTACTACCATTTCAGTAGTGCAAGTTGAAAAGGAAGATTGGAGGTAACCTTTGATTGATTATTTGCAGTATAGAAAATTACCAAATGACCCACGTTATAGAACCGAGATACGACGAAGAGCTCCTCGATTTATTTATTATAAAGGCATTCTCTATCGTCATTCATTTGATGGTATCTTTCTGCGATGTTTGGATGAAGATGAAGCTGCTCAAGCACTCAAAGAAGCTCATTCTGGAATCTGTGGTGCTCATCAATCAGGGCCTAAATTACATTTCCGCATAAAGAGAATGGGGTATTACTGGCCTATTATGGTACAAGACTCGATGAGTTATGCTAAGAAATGTCAAGCTTGTCAGTTCCATGCCAACTTCATTCACCAGCCACTTGAACCATTGCATCCTACAGTCGCATCATGGCCTTTTGATATATGGGGACTTGATGTCGTAGGACCTTTGACTCCAAAATCGTTAGTAGGACATCTTTACATCTTTGCAGCAACTGATTATTTCTTCAAGTGGGCAGAAGCAATTCCTCTTAAAAGAAGTGAAAAAAGAAAATGTTGTCGACTTTATTCGAACAAATATTATATATCGGTATGGTGTACCTCGTTACATTATTACTGATAATAGAAAATCATTTGTCAATAGCCTCGTGGTCAAGCTCTACATCAAATTTGGGTTTATACAACATAATTCATCTATGTACAACGCACCAGCCAATGGACTCGCAGAAGCTTTCAATAAAACCTTGTGCAACTTGTTGAAGAAAGTTGTCTCCAAATCAAAGAAGGATTGACATGAAAGGGTTGGTGAAGCTCTCTGAGCATATCGAACAACATACCGACTCCAACACAAGCTACTCCATATTCCCTTGTGTATGGCGTTGAAGTTGTTCTTCCTTTGGAACGTCAAATTCCCTCTCTGTGGATCGCCCTACAAGAAGAACTCACAAATGAAGAAAATGTTCATTTACGTCTAGATGAGCTTGAAGCACTTGACGAGAAAAGACTAGATGCACAACAAAACCTGGAATGTTATCAAGCCAAACTTTTCAAAGCCTTCAATAAGAAGGTTTGTGTCCGATCATTCCAAATGGGAGATTTGGTCCTTGCAATTTGAAGACCCATTTTCATTCCACATCACACCGATGGAAAATTCATGCCAAAATGGGATGGTCCATATGTGGTGAAAGAAGTCTAAACCAACGGCGCATACAAGATTGTTGACAAAGATGGCTTGAGGGTTAGCCCAATCAATGAAAAATTCTTAAAGCGCTTCTACGCTTGAAAACAAACAACGCTCCTTTACGCATGAGTCTAAACCGCATGTCACTCCTGACCCGCATGAGTTAAAACTGTGCACGGCGTCAACCTATATAAAAAAAATATAATAAAAATAAAAACTTGTTGCTCCTGGCCCGCATGAGCTAAAACTGTGTACGACTTGACCAAAAATAAAGGTTCATGTGCTCCTTTACGCACGAGCCTAAACTGCATGTTACTCCTAGCCCGCAAGAGTTAAAACTGTGTACGGCTTTAAAAAAAAATTTACTTAGCTTAACAAAAAAAAAAAAAAAACGCTTTTACTCCTAGTCCGCATGAGTTAAAAGTATGTACAACGTGACCAAAAAAAATTTTTTTTTTACTCTTGGCCCGCATGAGTTAAAACTGTGTACGACTCAACCAAAAAAACAACTCCTTATAAATTATGTTTAAAACTTAATTTTTTTCTTTGAGATATCTAATTATTTGAGAATCAATTTTTTTAGTACAATAAATAATAGCATAAAAAAAATTCAAATCTAAACATCCATATTTGCTATATATATATATATATATATATATATATAAAGAATTACAATTGAGGAGTTATGAGATCATAAAAAATTTTCAACCTAGTCGATCAAGGCTAGTGAAACAAATTCCTTCTCTAACATGGATCTCATGTTATCTATATTCTGTACCTCCTCAATGCTGCGAATATGAGACTCCTGGAGTTCGACACGTTCTTTCTCCATCACCACAATAGTCTCTTCAGTGTTCTATCGTTCATCACGAATGAAGTCAATGCTAGATGCTACCTCGGCCCTCTGATCTTGCAGTCGTCGGATTTCATCATCAAGACTCAATAGCTCTGCTTCAGATTTCAATAGTTGTTCACTCAAGCCAAGAACTTTGAATTATCCTCCTGATATCGTGCTATCAATTGTCACCAACCTTCTATGTTTTTCTCCAGCGGTTAAAACTTTGACGCTTTCTTGGCGTTTTGAAAGGTACTCATCTACTTTCATAAGAAGACAATCCATTTTTCTCTCCAAAGGATCTGTGTCAATATATAAAAGCTTTTTAAGAGTATCTTCAATACTCGAAGACTTAGACGTCCACCAGGTCTTCAATCCAGAGAAGTCATTTTTCATGGCATAATCAAATTCACCCTTCAAATATGGGGGTATCCCGGTCAGAATTATTTTCTTTGCCAATCTTTCAGAAGTAATTGCTTCAACAGGAAGACCTGACACAAATAAAGATATGTGATTAGTTGCATACTAATCGAAAGGGCAACTAGATTAAGCTAATAAAATATACCTGAGACAGATGAAAACATCACCATTAGTCTTGGAGATCATGTTTTACTAGGTCCATATGGCTTAAGAAGAGTATTCATAACAGAATTATTAATAGCTTCTTGCCCTGCTTGTATAACACATGAAAGATTTGTTTTAGAATTAACTTTCCCTTCACAAGGATTGGTATGTTCTCCATCAACCAAAGGAAGAATCTCACCACTGTCGGAAAGAATGGACATGGTCTGATCGTTGTCATCAAATAAAACTTCAGTGATATCATTGTCAAGATTTTGGTCTCCACAAATACCTGGGATGAAATTTAATGTGGCAAGATCTGGGAGTAAAGGAAAAGCTAAAAAAAAAAAAGGATAAGAGGTTTGAAATATAAAAAAAAATGATAATAGTAATGAAATTTTGCAAGTACCTTTATTGCAAGATCGCGGGGATAATTCTAAAAAATTTGATAAGTCATTCAGAGCATCACAAGATGGGTCAATCTTGCCTGTGGGAGACTTTATAGTAGTATGATTTGCACCATCTTCTGTCCAGGTACAAGTCAAATTATGCTCAGCTTCTGTAGCTCTTGTTTGGCACCTCTCTTGAATTACCTGCTTAATAGAACCAAGATTATCAACTGGTACAATTACGCTTAGAATCCTTCCTCGATTCGAGCCTATATCCTGTTTCTTGAAAATACCCTTAGTCATGCGGGATGAAAGAAGTGCATGGTCAGATTCGTTTGACGAACTCACTTCAGCAGACTTTGGGATGTTTAAAGGATGAACATATCGAACATTAGTTGATCTTGAAACAGGTGTTGTGACCTTTAACATCTTCGGAGCCAGTTGTTCTTGAGAATTCAAACAATCCTTTGAAGTGTCCCAGTTTCGAAGACGTGAAGGAGCTTTAGCTACTGTAGGAATGGATTTCCCCTTCCCTGACCCATTAGCTTGAGTTTTGAATTTGAAATTCTCAGATTCACTAGCTGACAAGGTTTTATAATTGATGCCATCTAGGTGTGGGAGTACATCATATTTTCACCAATTGTTATAACTATTATCACATCGATTCTCAATGCGAGCGCAATTATTAAGGACATGGAATCCTGTCCCACTATTTATCCTGGTTAAACTCAACCACGCCCGATACAAAAAAAGAGTCATTAAATGAAATTATTGATGGATGTGAGGGAGTACCCGGTAATCTTTGATGAAATCTATGCTACCTAGCAAAGCGATGTGGGTTATACATCTCAAGAATGCAAACTGGCCCACGACGATACATGACGTGTTCACCTCTCAAACTTGTCATTAATTCAGAGGTTTCATCTGATATTTGTCCATCATCATGATGAGGTCCTCGATTTCCAGAATACAGAACTGGTTGTCAGCAAAAATCACTGGAACTCATACTTCCACGCAGAAGATCTCGAAATCCTTTCGCTTTTTCCTCATAAAAAAGATAAACATTCATTGTACCTTTGAATTGTCGAAGCAAAGGACGATCAAACTCCCCATCAACCTCAGCATAAACTCTCCGAGGGAAATGCAACACTGCCCAAGCATAAAAGTAATGACCTGGAAAAGCATAAGAAGCTATTTTGAGGTTCTTTTGATCATATTGGATGTTGCATGTCTCAGATAAACCTCTGTAAATGCTTGCAACAATAGGGGGAACCAAGCTAGATGTGACTCCAACAGCCATTTGGGAGGCAGTCTTGAAGATAGTTCGACGAATAACATCATCTGATGAAGGAAATACAAAGCGACATAGCCATCAAGCTAAATAAGCTGCAATCTCCAAGTCTTCACGTGTTGTGACATCAAGTTCAAGATCTAAAAGATTGAAGGGATCACCACCATTGACCTTTGTCTTCATAGGTTGTATTTCTGCCTGAATAGGTCTCACCAATCTTCGCTTTGCAAAAAGTTCTCCATCCTTTTTAAAGCAATTTGCCATGGTTGCTTTATATGCCTTGATCTTCTTAGGATCCAGAGCACGTGCACCATTCTTGAACCAAAAATCAAGCCAATCTGAATGACGAGGATGATTATCTCATTTCTTCTTATTAATTAAGACAAAAGCCTTAAACAAGTGCAGACAAGTCACAAGAAGAACACTAGTATCAAAGTCTCTCAATTCAGTCAACCTTGGGATAACTTCTTCAAAATATTCACCACAGATTGAAAGACCGATGACGTGTTGCATTTCCCAAAGTGAGATTCCAATTTCTCCTGCTCCCGTAACAAATGTATTCGTTTGTGGGTACCAAACTTCACAAAGGGTGCGATATACACTGTTGAGTCGAGAGTAGTCAAAAGAAGTTGCATGCACAACATAAACAAGTTCGTTGAAACCCTTATCTAACAACTTGCGATAAATTCGTTGAGACCACTCCCAAAACTCATTCAGATATTATATATCTCCACTTGGGTACAATGAACATCCCCACCTCGTAGTCCTCTAGTTGATCAGATCAACAACAAGTGGTTTTGGGATAAGATGATCTTTGGAATGATATGAAGGCGCGCAAAGTGAGGGTAGTCTATCTGACTTAACCATGTCACTTTTGTGCATGTTCTCTGGCAGAGGATATTCACTAATCATCGGCATATAAAGTTCAGGTTCATAGATTATTCTCGAGCAGCTGCAGGGACCAGTCATGGGCTCAAGAACTTTGAGTGATAATGTTGACAGCTAGTTGGTTTTGTAGTTCTTTATCACAACAGTTGAAAAACACAAAACTTTGTCTTTTAGAGTTGGACCTTCTGACTCAGCAATCCACTCATCGGAAGGTAAGTTCTTTCTTTGACTTGAAATTTTGATAATTTTTTTGGATTTGGCTTTTTGAGATGAGGCTATCTGAAAAATAATAAAAATAATAATAAAAAAAGGGCAAATAATAAAAAAAAAATAATAATATTAGCAATACAAGAATAGATAAGTCACCTTGGGCTATTACAGAAATCACATAGGGCTGTTACAGAAGTCACATAGGGCTGTTACAGAAGTCATATTAGGCTGTTACAGAAGTGACATTGAGCTGTTACAGAAGTCACCTAGGGCTTTTACAGAAATCACCTAGGGTTGTTACAGAAGTCATATTGAACTATTACAAAAGTCACATTGGGCTGTTAGAGAAGTCACATTGGGCTGTTACAGAAGTCACCTAGGACTGTTACAGAAGTCACCAAAGGCCTGTTACAGAAGTCATCTTGAGCTGTTATAGAAGTCACCAAAGGGATATTATAGAAGTCACATTGGGCTGTTACAGAAGTCACCTAGAGCTGTTACAAAAGTCACCTTGGGCTGTTACAAAAGTCATCTAGGACTGTTACAGAAGTCACCAAAGGGTTGTTACAGAAGTCACCAAAGGGTTGTTACAGAAGTCACTTTGGACTGTTACAGAAGTTACCTAGGACTGTTACAGAAGTCACATTTGACTGTTACAGAAGTCACCTACGACTGTTGCAGAAGTTACATAGGGCTGTTACAGAAGTTACCTTAAGTTGTTACGAAAGTCACTTTTGACTGTTACAGAAGACACTGTAGGTTGTCACGGAAGTTACCTTAAGATGTCACAAAAGTCACCTGAAACTGTCTCAAGAGTCACCTAAGTTGACAAAAAAAAAAAAAAAATTCATTGAAGGTTGTTATAACAATCACAAAATAATAATAGTAATAAAATAATAAAATAAAAATTTTATAACATAATTCACCTATAGTTGACATAAAAGTTACAAACTGTTAGAGTGGATCTTATGTAAATTAACATTTTTGAGAAAAGTTATTTAAAATTAAAATTAAAATTCTTAGCACAAGTCAACCCAATAAAAAATTTCTTAGAACAAAGTTTCTTAAGATAAAATTTTTCTAAGAAAAAAAAAGAGAAAGAAAAAAAATCAGTCTTGATAATAGTAGCTTAAAATTTGTACAATAATAGGAAAGAAAAGAAAAACATGTTTGAGATCAAATTCTTGAAAAATAGAACCACCTGAATTAAATTTTAAAAAAAAAAAACTAATCCAAGAAAGAAAAATTGGAAAAAATTACATACTAAAAAACAACAAAAATAAATAAAATAAAATTATTCNAAAAAAAAAACTAATCCAAGAAAGAAAAATTGGAAAAAATTACATACTAAAAAGCAACTAAAATAAATAAAATAAAATTATTCAGATAAACTATCCGAGTCAAAGTTCTTTGTCTCGAATCAACAGTGATATTATAGAGACTAAAATTTCTTATGAGCTCTTGCAAGAACTTACCTTAAGCCAAGTTAAAAAAAAAAAAACTACTTTCACGTGGGCTCCACACAAATTACCAACTATTGATCTTAACAAAAATAGCTACCATTGGTCAGAGCTTCATTGATGGTAAACAATGCTTTTAGACCTACGAAGTGACAAAGTAGAAATATTTGCATTGGACAAAAATAAGTTTTTGATAAAAAAAGTGGGATGAATTGGCAAACACCTAATGCTTATATGGTCAAATTAGTCAATCATAAAATTGTCTATTATAAACAGTTAAGAGGAATTCAATGAAAGAAATCTCATTCCTGGTCCTAGTTACAAAAACAAAACAATAAACACACAAAAAATAAATCAATAAAATAAAATAAAATAATAAACACAATCTAAGTTTTAAATTAAATAATAATAATAATAAAGCACAAACAAAAGAAGACTTGATTATCATGAGACCAACAAAAAGTTATTGTGGTAAATAAAGTCAAAGAGTGTGTTGTATACCACCAAAGAAACATCAAAAAAAAATTTGCTCAAATTAAAGTTTTAGGGTAAAGTCTTAAAAAAAAAAAACAGCAAATATGCTTAAAACAAAAGAATAATTCCTATGACTTTATCTAAATTTGTGTAAAAAAAAATATAAAATAAAATAAAAAAAAACTTGGTAAGAAGGCAAACATTGCAATCAATTACACATCAAAGTAATTAAATCTGTCCATGCCAACAACAAATTATAAAAAAAAAAAATTTGTACATTTCTCACAGGCTAAGGTCTTGAAAGTCGTTATCATTGTTAACAAAATAAACAAAGTCATATAAAACTAGGTCTAAAAAAAAATATATAATAATAATAATAATAATAATAATAATGAAAAAGAAAACTAGGTCTTTAAAAAAAAACACCAACTGTGATACCAAAGTCAGAATAAAAAAAATAATACAATTCAATAATATATATATATAATAAAACAGGAGTACGTTTGAATTTTATCCCAGTTATATTTTTTCCCTCAAAACCATCATCAATCACTTACCTCACCCATCATTCATTTGTCAGACTCAAACGTCAAATCATATCACTTATTTCTATCATATATTTAATCATTTATATATTTATCCCTTAGAAATATCACATCATTCATTTCTATCATATATTTAATCATTTAATATTTGATTAATGTATAGTTAACATATTTTGAAAAAAATTAACATAATGAGATCAATTTTTTTTACGCTCGAGTTATATATTTTCTCGTGCAATAAAATAGTAGTATAATATTTTGTGTAAATAACTTGTTACACCGTTATTGTTATAATATTACATTGTTAGTATTACACTATTACAATTTTATTGTTATACTGTTATTATTATACTGTTATACTTTTATTGTTACACTATTACACTATTCGGATATTAAATTAATTTAAAAATAAAACCACTTTTAAAAAAAATGCATGAATTAAGGTGCATTAAAAGATAATTCAAAATTTAGATAAGAAATTTAACAACAAGTATATACATACATATACATAAGTATTTATATATATACATACAACATTTTCTAAAGAAATACTTATGTATA